CCAACAATATCGTGACGACCGAGCTCCAGATCTGTGACTTCAGACGCTTCGATGACTCTGCCAATTTGGTGTTACGCTGGAAGTGCTGCAAATGAAGGAGGAGGAGTTGCAACATTTTTTTTTTTTAATTCAACGATTTGAAGAGATGTATGTATGTATGTATGTATGTTTATTCATTATTTTCTTAATTCATAAAAATGTACAATAAAACAAAGACATAATCTTAAAATAACAAATTCAGTAAGAAAATAGTTAATGACATAGTATGCTACAATAAAGAGCAGTGGAAATGTCATTTCATAATTGTTACATTAGTGGGGGGCATAAGTAGAAAACAAAATGTAGTTGCGAATATGATTAGTAAAGTTAAAAATTATTAAATTAAATATATGAATACAAATTTATGCATAAAAATTTAGGCAAAGCATTCAAAGCAATTTCAGAACCTACATCAAAATGTATTATGTTAAACCTTCAGCGGTAATGCATTACTTATACACTAAGGCCCACTTGCACAACGCCGAGTCATCTCCTTAACTAAGTTAATTTGATAACTTGTCAAAAACGTATGGATTTAACCCCCCATTTGACGTTAGCTCTGAGTTAAAAATATAAATTTTCGTTGTGTAAGTCAGCCTAAATAATAGGTCGCAGCAAAACTTCGATATCTTCATGATTGAAGCCAAAAAGCCATATTTTCACCTCTTTGAGGAACACTGAAAGCGATCTAATATGCTGTATATCGTCGGGTAATTTGAGAAATAATTTACAAGACACTGTGGCGTAGAAGTTTCGAAAGAGTGTGGTGCGAAAGCTCGGAATTGCTATGTGAAATAACGATCTACTTCTCAGATTGTATGGATTGTATATAGGACTTTGAGTATATCCGCTCCTCATGAAAAAAAATTTTCAAAACTTTAAAGTAGTACAAATGACGCAAAGGAAGAATATTTAACTTTTTGAAGAGATCCATGGAATGTGTCATGCGCCCAACGCTACATATTCTTCGAATAAGACACTTCTGCATGACTAAAAGCGGACGAACCTTATTAGCGTATGCACCACCCCAGCAACTGATTCCGTATTGTAATTTAGAGTGGATTAACCCATGGTATACCATTATCAATAATTTGTTGGAGCACAGTTTTTCCAAACTATAGAAGGAACGTACGGCTGATAGAAGGTAAAGCTTCATAGCCGAAATATGCGAAGACCAACTTAGGCTTTGGTCTATTATAACTCCTAAATACTTAAAGTCAGGAACAACTTCGATGTTAAAGCAATTATTGTTGCAGTTAATACTATGATAAAAAGTAGCTACAGCATTTTGCTGAGTGCAATTATTAGAGCATAATATATATCGCATACAGTTCGAGGCATGAAAAGTAAATGCGTTATTTGGTATGTCTTTGTTACCAAGACTAAAATACATTAACTTCGTTTTATTGCTTGCTACCAGCTTGTGGCCTGCAAACCAAGATCTTAGCAAATGTAAGTCGTGGTTGATATCTACAAAAAGATTAAATGAGTTGTCTGATCCGTATGCAATGGCAAGGTCGTCAGCAAAAGCAGTAACCTTCCCAATAAAAGGCAACGAGAATACTGAATTGATATAAATCAAAAACAAGATTGGTCCAAGTACCGATCCCTGGGGTACACCTAGGGTTATAAATCTGGGTTCACTCAAATAATTTTCAATTTTAACTTTTTGAACTCTGTTCGTTAGGTAAGATTCAAACCATCTTAGGATGTTACCACGAAAACCAGCCGAATTTAATTTGCTCAAAAGAATAGCATGGTCAACCATGTCAAACGCTTTCGTAATATCGACGAATAAACTAGCACAACTCTTTCTTTCATCAATGGCCTTATATATAAATGAACAGAAATCTAAAAGAGCATCTTCAGTGGAGAGACCGGACCTAAAACCAAACTGCATTGGACTGAAGAAATTTATTTTATCCAGATATGCTAAAAGTCTACCCTTCACAGCTTTCTCGAAAATTTTGGTTATTGAAGATAATAAGGATATAGGTCTGTAGTTGTTTTTATCTTTTTTATTTCCTTTTTTAAAAAGAGGTATAACAGTAGCACACTTTAAGTCTTCTGGAAAAACTCCAGAGAGTATGCTTAAATTAAATAAATGCTTCAGAACGTCAACAATATACAATCCTATGCTCTTTAATATTCGATTTGAAATGTTATCACTTCCACTAGAACCAGAATTTTTTAGGTTTTTGATTATGATCAGAATTTCTGAGCCGGATATGGGATCAAAGAAAAAACTGTTACTGGGCGGGGCGAGTTCAGGATGCAATGGGTCAGTTTGACACGTACAAAAATTATAGTTGTTAAATATAGCGGGACCAGTACCCACGTTAACAAAGAAATCATTCAGCGCATTTGCAACTACCAGAGGATCCGAGACATCAGTGCCGTCCAAACTTAATACAAGCGAATCCGATTTGCTTTTTGATTTACGGTTAATAATTTGGTTTACAGCATCCCATTCTCTCCTGAGATCACCATGCGCTGAAAATAATAAATCTTGGAAATATTTTTCGCGATTAGATCGGATTTCTTTATTTAGCACATAAGTGAGGCCACGAACACGTTTCTTAAGCTTGGCATCTGTTGGACGTTTGCTGGATTTCAGACGTAAATTGTTTTTTACCTTAATCTTTCGAAGTAATTGGTGAGTTATCCAAGGCTTCAGAGCTAAAAGCGACTTTTTCCGATGAACAGTGAGACAAGAGTTGTTTATGTGAGCTGAAAGCGTATTTATAAACAGGCTATAAGCTTTTGTTACATCCGTTTCATAGAAAACAGTTCCCCAGTTTTCACAGAGAAGTGATTCTTGGAGTAATTTATAATCCAATCTTTTAGAAGTTACTTTCGTACAATAGTCTTTAATTGCCCTACTATTATTCAAGTTCACGAGTTGAAGGCCAGTCAGGCAATGGTCAGAGATGCCAAAGTTCAGATTTATACCGGCACGCATATGATCTACCATATTATTTAACCTAACGTATACATGATCAATACAGGTCCCTGAATCTGGGCGGGTGGTCTCTTGGATAACGGATGTTAAGCCATTGTCTGCCAGAAGCGCAAGATAGTTGTCCAACATTGAGTTAGTAGACAGTAAGTCAAAGTTGAAATCTCCTAAAATAAAAAGATTATTTGATTTTTCTGTACTTAGAAAAGTAGAAAACTCTTCATGAAAAAGTTTAAAGTCATGTGTGTGAAATCTATATACGCATACAAAGGAGAAGGATATATTGTTTAACTTCAACGACATTTTTAAAACATCAGCACTTGTTAGACTTAAGCTCGAAACTTCGCATTCGTAACAGTTTCGTATAAACATTCCAACACCACCTGCAGAGTAAGTATCATTTGCATTTGCAAAAAAATTGTAATTAGGAATACTGTAGTCATTAATTTCATAAGAAAAAATCCAAATCTCTGAAAGAAATATAATATCCGGAAGCTTGTTAAAGGCTTCAAGGTTGCAAACTAAAGGATCGAAATTACGCCTTAGACTTCTTATATTTTGATGCAAAATAGTAAAAGTATTGTCTTCTGATGCCAGTAAAGAAGAATCTGTGATAACATTTATGGTAGGACTGTTATTTATAAAAACTGATCTTGAATTCATTGTTTGAAGTGCACAGAGACTAAAATAAAAATTAATTTAAGAAATAACATTAAGGTCATCAAACGTTTTTATAATAACAGGCCTAGCATTTTCAGACTTTTTCATTAAAATTCTGGAATTAGACAACCATAAATATTTATAACCCTTTTCTTTTTTCACCTTACTAGCAGCTGAAAACAAACCTCTAAAATAGTAAGTAAAACTATTATTAATGTATATATTTTTTTTGCTGTCATCAGAAAATAGCGACGTATTAAGTCTTTTGTTTGCAGATCGCTTCGCTAGCATAAGTTTTTTCTTCATATCAGACGACTTCAGCTTGATGCAAACTATACTTTTTTTAATCGTGGTTTGAGATCGCTCCGAATTAATTTGCTTTACGTTTATTGCTTCAATCTCGTTGTCTAATACCTCCACATTCAATGCATCCCTGAAAATTTTGCCTATGCATTCTTTTGCATTTTCGTTGTTGACATTTGGCACTCCAACAATTTCAATGCAGTTTTCCAATTGTTTTT